TGCCAACTAGTACGTTTTTGATTTATCTACTCTAATTTATTTTCGGGGCTCATCCGTCGGAAAGTTTTCGTACAACTTACCGCCGCTTTCTTTCTTTTTTTTTTACTTTCGAATTCATTTTTTGACCAAATGACCAATTCGCTTATCTCTTTCTCTCTCTTCTTCTTACCGCCTGTCCAAAACTTAATGATGTCTAGAATTATTGATGATAAGAGCAGCAAAAAATGAAACAAACTTTTTTTAAGTACGTGCATTTTTTTTCAGACCACACACAACTAGGACCGGAAAATGACTGGAAACGGAAAAAGAGAATTTTTGAGGTGAGTGTATTTTTTTCATTGTTTCATGTTTTTATTGAATTTCTGATAAGAGAAATATGAGAATTATTTAAAAATCTGGAACTAGAATTATGAAATACATTTTTAGGATTACTATGCTGGTACTGACTATGAGCAATCGAAGCTGTGGAAGATGACTGTTGTCGAAGCCGGTGGCCGTGGTCGAAGGTCCCAAAACGGAAAATACAGTAACCTAAAATATGTTTATTTTTCGAATTCATTTTCTCAATTTTCGTGCGTTTCCAGACAATTTTTTCACTTTCAAAAATTATTAACTTCGGAGAATATTTTTTATGAAAACAAATTTTAGGTTACTGTAGTTATCGCTGTGGGATTTTCAGATTTCGGCGTTTCCCTTCCACAGCTTCGATTTTTTGTACGAGAATAAATAGATAGATTGGAACCTTTTTCGCATGCACTTTTGTTCCATTTCTCGCAAATTTATCCCTTACCTGGTTTTTTTTCTTCCAAAATATTTTTTCAAAGTTTCACTGCTTCAAAATTTCTATTTGTCTTGACGCGATATTCGTTATTCAGTGCTAAGTACTGAAGACAAAATTGCAAGGAAATCTAAAAATTCTCAGAAACAAAAATTTAGAAAAAAGTTGCAATTTTCATTTCCGGTCCTCATTTTTCGATTCTTCTTCTGATCTGTCCCGCTCACTTCGTCTTCTTGTATTTCCCGTCGCAAAGACCCCGACCCGAACATTTTATTCCCATTTTTCATTTTCTCTCACTTCTCCTATTTCACACATACTATTTTCTAAAGGGGCGGGGCTTAGTGTCCAAGAGCGACGCGTGCCGATGAGTTGAGAAGAAATTGGGTACGGTAGATGAGGGAGGGTGGCCGCCCACTGAGAAGTGGGCGGAGCTTCGGTGAGGCAAGAACACGGGAAGGGAAAGCAACAAGCACAGACGACCATCTTGAGATGAGATCAGAGGAAAAAATGCGATTTGGATTTTTTTCTGTTTCAAAATTTTTTAGTTTTCAAAAAAATTATATCTGATTGTTAATTCTCCAGAACTTCTACTGATGCTCTCTTCTCTCGAAAATTCCAACTTTTGCTTTTTGTCACCAATTTTTTGAAATTCTCCGTTTCTCAATGTTCTCTAAAGATTGCACCGATTTTTAGTATCTACTCAGTTGCTCTAATTTCTAAGCTACTGATTATTCTTTGAAATTTCCATTGCTCAGTTTTTATTCAAATTCACAGCTCCTGTCATATGCAATAGGAGCCCACCCAAACCGTCAACTTTGGGCTCAATTAACGCGATTCTTGTGAAAGATGTCGAAAATTTGTCAATTGATAAACTGTGTACCATAATATCACCAATATTTAATCAGCTGAGATATTTTTGATATCTTTCACAAAAATCGAGAGAATAGAACTCAAAGCTGAATGTTTGAAAAAGTTTATTTCATGAATCACTGTTTCTATGAATTGATATGAACAAATGTTTCTCACTTTTCTCAATTTGATACGCGGTTGATGTTCAAAGATATGTTCAAAAAATTGTTGCCTGTTTCCTCATTTTAGGATTTTTCAAATTTCTATATTGCACATAAAATACAATGCAGTTCTCTTCTCTCAAAGCTCACAAAATTTTGAAAAATCGGGGAATAGTTTGTGTCTGGTCCTCAAAAAGAACTGTTTCAACAAATTAATATTCACAACTGTTTTCCGAATCGCGACTAATAGGCATACCTCTGGTAGATGTTCAAAGAAATGTTCAAAAACTTTTTTCATGTTTCATAATTTTATCAAATCTTAAATTTTCAAATTATAATATTCCGCACAATGTTTATAAAATCCAACTAAACATCGTTCTCTCCCTAATTACCTCAATTTCCCTTAACAAGTCCGTTCTACCTCCTATGCTGCCCAACACGGAGATAATGATAGATTAGGATCGATTCATGAACTCTGTACACCTGGTGACACCTCCTCCTGCATCCGTATACTACCCAATTACACGAATCTCAACCTTAATTTTACGGTACTCAATTTGATTTGGATCAATGGAGAAAGAAACTGGTGAACCATGGCAAGGTTGGTATCACTTTTGAACAAATTCATCTCGTTTCCTGTGAAAGGTATCAACAAGTGCTCAACTGACAAAGCAATTTTGATGTTACCATAAATGAATTACCAGTTGGCAACATTTTTAGATCTTTTACAGAAAATGAGATATATGAGCTCAAAGTGGACGGTTGGTTGGGGGTACTGAACAGTAGTTCCCGCTGAAACACGTTGGTTAATATTAAGACAAGAAAAAGACATTATCTAAAACTTTTTTGAAACAGTAAAAATTGTGTTTTTAAGAACTATCAGTTGGCAAATTAGAAACTTGTCTAGCGTCTAAAAATGTTCCCCCTTGAGTTTCTAATCTACCGTCACTTAATTTGAGTTCCTCTCTCTTTAACACCTTCCCTCCAGAGTTATACACTTCCGGTTGTGCCGGGGTAACGACAACAATACCTAGCTTTTTGACCCCCTGCTGACAGCTTGATGACGTGGCGAAAAGTGCACTGTTTCATGTCGGAGTTTTATTAAGAGGAAGTAGGATTTCAGCGATAAGAAAATTTGACAAAGTTGAAGTTGAAAAAAGATCAAATCATTTCCCTGGTGCAATAATTTTCTTTTTCGAAAATCCGTTACGAGTAGGATGATCAAACAAGCAACTTAATGAGCTAATCATATTCATCTAAACAGTATATTCTACATTCCCTTTTTTTGGATCTCGGTCCGGTGTGGGGTTTTCATTTTTCTCAAATTTCCGCCGTGTATCCAAAAACTTCTGTGAAAAATAATTTTACGACATTAGTTTTCACATTTTAGCCTTTTTTGATGGGCCTGAAAATTTTTGAAAAGACAAAAATTTACTTGAAACCCTGGGCCAAACAGACAGGACCAAAGTTTTCAAACAAAACCCGGCCCGGCCCGTAGGAATTATCAAAAATGTTTATAATTTTGGAAAGATCTCTTTTTAATGTTAAAGCTGTTTTCTCTGTATCCAATTTTCTAGTTACTGTTTCACTGAAAAGACATATTTCGAAAAATGTATTGCGCTGTAGTTGTTTTTTGACTTTCCTACATGCAAAAAAGTTACCTTCAAGGTTTGGAGATTTTCAGAAACCTGGCTGACTTTTGTTTCAGTTAAACACATGATAAATAGTATACACATACAAAGATTGTGAAGTTTTAAAGGAGGGAAAACATGAGGTTTTCCAGAGTATTTTTTCCAACGGTGGACCAACAAGCTCAACTCCTCGAGGGGCTTATTTGAGCAGAATTCCAAAACAATGTTTTCTCATCTCTTTCCATCTTTCTAATTGTAAGAATAATTTTCTACTCACTTCGCGATATTCGCTTTTTCGTCAAGAATGTCAAAATTCTCTGTCTCTTAATTCACTTTCAAGGAAAGACCACCAACTGTGAAGCGGAGAAAGAAGGGCAGATGGGGTGGGTTTAGCTGAAGATGATCAGAATTAAAAATTATGACACGAAGTTCGAGATTCTGGTATAAAGCAAATTCAACCCTAACTTTTCGAAGGTACTTTTTAGTAAAATTGTTTCTGTTTCTAAAAGTTTTAATTACCTAAGGAGTTCAGTATTAGGCTGTGATGTTGTGCTAATAACTTTAACAGCTTTAGAAAAAAATATAGCCTAGTCGAAATCTTGGAATTCTCAAAATCTGATTTTTGAAAAAAAAACTGGTTTCATAGAGCAGCTAAATTGACCTGAATAAAACATAATTTTCGCTGAAAGGAATTTTGAGCCAAAACAATTCCAGCGATTCTATTTCTCCTATTTTACAGCCGCCTAACGTTCATAAATCCATCGTTCCCCGACCTTTAAAGTTTCCCATTGTACTGAATAATCCAAATTTAATCCTCTCTAACCATTTTTCTCGACTTCTACCTTCTCTTTTCCTCATTTCTCATCTGAAAACCCTACCAACCAACTGTATATTCGATTCGAGAACTAGGCAGAAAGCCAAGAGGTTAAGTGGGCTTCAATGTGAGGTCGTCGCGCAATCGAACCGGTTATTTCGAAAAAAAGTAGAAGGTGGGGTGAGGAAGAAAAAAGAAGAAGAAGAAGACTCACTTCTCGTGTCATGAAGCAGATTGGCATCGAAAGTGGAAGGAAGAGAGAGTAGTAAATAGGAAACTGCCAACTAGTCTCGAGAATCGCAATCGAATCGAACAAGCTAATGTTTCCTTTACCCAAACTGTATTTTTTTGGATTTTTTAGACCTGGTTACTGTATATTTAGTAGATCAATTTTTTTTCAATCGAAAGAAAACTAATGAATATTCCGTTTTCACTTGGGTTCAAGCGAGGGGGTCAGAAAGCGCGCCCCAGTAAAATTTTCAAAAATTCTCAATTCGCTGCCGAACTTCGTTGGCTGAGTATCACAGTTTTAAACGGTTAGCGAAAATACGCGCGTTGCAACCTGTTGATTTTCAAGAAATAGATCATGATCTAGTTCAAACCCGCGTTCATTTTAAAATTATTAAGTTTCTTCTGGCCTACGAGTTTGCTGGGGCGCTTTTTCTGACCCCCTCGCTTGAACCCAAGTGCTTTTTCCCTTTTTTTTTATACCATACGGTTCTTTTAAATCGTCTAAATCTACAAAATCTAAAAATTCCAGGTTCAAAATGGCCCCATTGAGGATAGATCTGGTCCGACCACAATCCACCGAGCTTACCAAATTGGAATCTACTTCAAGGTAAGTCCCTTTTTTGGAAAATCTGGAATTTTCAAAACTGCTAAGTTAGCATGGGTTTTAAAATTTTCTCTGTTTTTTTTCGATGAAGGAATTTTTTAAAATTTGTTTCTTTATTTATGTCAATCTATATGCTTTTCTGCACATTTTGATGCTATAAAAAATTTCACCGTAGACCACCTTTAAGTTTTTTTCTGTTTCCAAAATTTAGTATTACAATTTTTGAGTTTTTCTGTCTCGCTCTTGAGACGATAGGTTCTTTTTTGTTTTCAATTTTTGAACCATTGACATAAAACGTCAGTTACCGTAAAACCTGCAAAAAGTTTGAGCTCAATTATCTCAATTTCTGTGCAAGATATAAAAAATCGATAGACTGATAAAATGTTTATGATGTTATGAATAAAAATTTATCAGTTAACAACTTTTCTGTATCTTTTACAGGAACCGAGATAAATTGCGTCAAAGTTGAAAGTTAGGGGCTTTTCTCAAAACTTCAACTGCTAGCTGATTCATCTTGCTAATATTTTTTCTGCAAATTATCTGCAAGTTCCCCAAACCATGACTCAATAATTAGCTTTTTCCCTTCAAAGTATTCGACCTTTTTGTCACCAGATTTATCATGCCAATCGTGTCAGATAACGGACGGCACGTTCGATACCAGATCAATCAGTCACGCTCATCGTTTTTATGACCTCTGATGAAAAAGGAGTGTGAGAAGAGTGGTATGAAGCTGTCTAGACAGAAAGTGCTGTACTTTCTAAGCTTGGAGGGCTTAAACCCGTATTTTAGGTTTGGAGACCACACATTTTCGTGAAAAGTCAAGACATGAAGGTTCTGTATTTTGAGGTTTGCTGGCAGATTACTGTTGTCATTAGCGTCCGCAAACACCATCACAGCGAAATATCCCACTTTTTTTCTAAAAGATACTCAGATTGCTGATCTAGTCATAGTAACAAAAAACCAAATTCTAAAAGTTTTGATACCGAAAAAAAATTTCTCAAAATTTCATCCCCTCCACCTTTAGACTTAATTTCTCACTTATTATATTTTGTTAATATATGTTGCTGCTTCTGATTTTTAAGTGACGCTATATTACAGTTGACCATTTCAAACTTAAAAAAAAACACTGTAAAAACTAGTACAACATTACCCCAATCGTGTTCCTATTCCTCCCAATCACAAGACACTGTATATTAAAAATGACTCGACGCCTTCTAGCTTCTCAAAAGTTGCAATTTTAAATCTCTCTTAACTTTTGCTTCCTTATCACTCGATATCTTTTTCTCTTTCATTTCACCTGTGACCCACAATGGATCATCATCATCGTCTTCTTCTTTTCTTTGCTACTTTTTCCCGAAATGGAAAGAAGGAGAGGAAGTGAGAAAAAGAGAAAAGATTGCTAAATTGATAGAGAAGAGAAGCTGTGAACATGAACAGAAGAAAAGGGCAAACCTTTCCACTTTTTCGTTTCTTTTTTTTATTGTCCTTTTATTTCAAGTACCTTAAAGCCTGTAAATTTGAGCCAATTTATCTCGGTTCCTGGGAAAGATATGAACAAGTTGTCAACTGATAAATTGTTTATCATAAATTCAGAAGTATTTCGTCAGTTAACATATTTTTGATATCTTACATAAGTGCCAAGATAATTTAGCTCAAATTCGACAGTCGTGAGTGTCCTTCTATTACAGGTTTTACGCTTTTTCAAATAAATTTGGAAAAATTCAGCTATTGAATTATATATATAACTTCAATTTTGTTTTTTTCATACGGCAAAAAAATTTTTCCTACCCATTTTAGTTATACTCAGGCATCCATTTTTTAGCAGAACTCCATTTTCACCATAATTATCCTTCCCTCAAGATTTAGACTGTGTGAAATAGAAACATATTTTTTCTGGCTTCCTGTATAATAAGTATCCAATTTTCAATAATATCGACAGTATACGGTACTACAGTATGCAATACTACAGTATACGATGCTATAAGGTATACTTCTTATCTACCGACATATGTTTACAACAAATACGGTACTTATCTCATTAACCACTAACTATATGAACCATATCAAGTAGCCATCTCATCTTTTCCTTGAAACTGTAACTGTTAAGTTTCCCATAGTCATATCTTCGGAAGGACCATTCCGCTCACCATATTTCCCAAAAAGCACCATTTTCGACCAATGGTCCCCCGACGTCATGGTCCGTATTGATCCCAAAGGGAGATCGGTACCGAAAATGATACCTATGGTATATTTCTCTTTTATAACATACCGTCAAAGAAGAAAACATTGACTCAAAATGTCAATTTTTGTTAATAGTTTTACCGACTTTTCGACTGTGAGAACTCGCCGCTTCTTATGGGAAATTTTTTGAAGATGTATCTGCAAAGACATTGAGATTTTGAATTAACAAAAAAATAAATATAAGACGGTTGAAATTTGAAGAATTTTTTTCACAAGTATAAACATAGCTCGAATTGATGATTTCCTGTACCATGTAGTATTTATTTCAGTTTCACCATATTTCTGAATTTTCTGTACAAAAATTATAAATATTCCAGAAATTAGTCAAAGTTATAGAAAATCTTTATTTGATAGGTTGGTGTCGGTGAGTACAAAAGGGGGATCAATACGGACCATGACGTCGGGGGACCATTGGTCGAAAATGGTGCTTTTTGGGAAATATGGTGAGCGGAATGGTCCTTCCGAAGATATGACTATGGGAAACTTAACAATTACAGTTTCAAGGAAAAAGATGAGATGGCTACTTGATATGGTTCATATAGTTAGTGGTTAATGAGATAAGTACCGTATTTGTTGTAAAAATATGTCGGTAGATAAGAAGTATACCTTATAGCATCGTATACTGTAGTATTGCATACTGTAGTACCGTATACTGTAGGTATTATTGAAAATTGGATACTTATTATACAGGAAGCCAGAAAAAATATGTTCCTGTTTCACACAGTCTAAATCTTGAGGGAAGGATAATTATTCCCAATTGGTGAAAATGGAGTTCTGCTAAAAAATGGATGCCTGAGTATAACTAAAATTGGTAGGAAAAATTTTTTGCCGGTAAAAAAAAGTTTTAGAAATTGCTCAGATTTTTCGAAAAGTATAGGACTATGACAACTAAAGCGGGAAGATTGTTCAGCGAAATTTTAGTAACTGGTAAAATTAAGAAATTCAGATGAAACAGAAATAATTATTTTTTTCCGTTTCAACGAAGTTTTGAATGTCGTTGAGGAGATAGTAAAACTTAATTCTCCAGGCAAATAAACTAATTTTCCAAAAAACCATACTTGTAACGGGCCAGGCTTTTTCCTGAATTTGGCTCGCAATATTTAGTGAATTTCACCACATTTTTAAAATAGAGATTCTGAAACTGTAATTTTTTACGGAATGTCTCCTTCTAAACCCCGCTTTTCCAGTACTTTTTTTAACATCTGAAACCCTCATCTCTCCTCCCAAATGTCATCTGTTAGTAGCCTCTCTTCCTCTCGATGATCTCGACACTTTCACCTTTTGCCCCCCTTCCTCCTCCCCTCCATCTGAAACCGGTTTTTTGCCGCGCGGATGCCCATGCATCAGAAGAGATGAAGCTGAAGGCATCACCCCTCGAGACTGAACACTTTTTCTCTTTTCCCACTCTCTCATCTTTCTTTTTTTTGCCACCAAAAAGTTACATCATATAGGAAGAGAAGTGTAAGGGGTCGATCGGTTTGGAGGGGGGCCGTCGCGTGATGCCGTCGTCGAGAGTGAACAGAATCTGATGAATTGGATTGGAATGGAAAAGCTGGTTTCGGTTTGAATTGGGGAAGAGAAGGGATCAAGGTTACTGTAGTAGTAGATCATAGGTACAGATTAGTAAGGTATTCTAGGAGGTCAATTTTTGGAGAACACAGATTTTTTCACCACTATATCATCTAGCAGTTTCATGTTGAAGTTTTTTAAACTTTTTGAAACAGCAAAAAAAAATTTGAAGACATTTGAAATTTCAATTTCCCTCGTTTTTTCACGAAAATTTCTCGCTCAATTTGTAGGGATCAAGGTTACTGTAGCAGTAGATCATAGTTACAGATTATTGTCGAATTTATAAAACTTACACCTCGTTTTATAAATTCGACAATAGTAAGGTAGGTCGAATTTTGGAGAAAAGCATACTTGTAAAATTCCGGGCCGGGCCTGAGGAAATTTTCAAAGCGCGGGCCCGGTAGCAAAAATTGTGTCATTTTGAGCCAAATTTTGAGCTCTCAATACAATTTCCTCTATTATTTTTTGTGTTTTTGAATTGTTTGTCTGTTTGATCAAAAAATATCAACAAAACTCGAAAAAAAATTTTTGATCGAAAAATCACATAAGGGTCCCCCCTTATATGTTTTTTGAAATTTTCAAAACTTGTGGAATGATAGGCCGGGCCGGGCCGGGCCTCCGAAATTCGGGAAAAAACCCGGCCCGTTACAAGTATTGAGAAAAGGGATTTTTTTGGAAATAGTTGCCTACTATAATAATTGTTGATTACTATCGTATAAATTGGCTCAAAGTTGAAAGGTACACTGTATTGTCAATATTTCCCCCCTTTTCTCAAAAACCGTATCCCCCATACACCTGCCCTCTTTGTCGGCCCGGCGGTGGTCCCTTTGATTTTCAGAAAGGGGAGGGAGGCGGGGCCTCATGGTCCTAGTGGTCGAAGGGGAGGGGGTGTGGCTAATAGCCAAGATAACTCATTCGGATTTATTTCATTCATTCGATACCCAAACTGTGCTCAAAATTGGTGACCGATTCTGAGAGCTCTCTTTTGGTATTTTTAATTCATTTCTTGATTTCTAGTCCCCATATATTTCCTCATTTTGTCATGCCAATCCTACCGTAGTAAATACATCTTGTTTCTCTCTCCTCACTCGTCCAATTACAATTACCAAATGTCAAACCATCAACAGCAGAAACATCACTCTCGAAGTACACATACAGCTTCTGCTTCCTACTCTTTTTTTCAACCCCTCTCTCATCTGAAAATACCAGTTTTGTGATGCTTCTCCCTCTCGCTCTCATTTTCTATTGTGTTGTATTGTTATGTCATCACTCTTGCTAGACCGATTGGGGGGAGGTTAGTACAACACATCCCTCTCGGGGGCGGTTTTGACCTGATCACCTTGCTTCTCGAGAGTTGAAACTTTTTTCTTCATCGTTGATAAGTTAGGCTTAGGTTCTAGTACTGTAACTTCTTCTTTTGGCTCCTCAGTTTCCGGTTTTCAGAGTTGATCAGTTAGGTTTTGTTTCTGGGTTACTGTATGTTCCTATTTGGCTCCTACACCTTCCCGTTGAGCAGTTCCCGCTCTTATCAGTTATACACTCTTGCTTCTTATCAGCGAAAAAACTGACCACTAGAAAACTCCTCTTTTTACTAGTATGTTACTTTTGTATACTTTTCCATGCTTCCTTCCTGTACCTTTAATCTAAAATCCGAATTTTCAGAATGGACCCAATGTTCAACATCAACTTTCAGTCAGCAACGATGATGATGCCAGAATTCCCTCCTGTTCAAGGCCAAAAGGTTAGTTTATTCATAAGAACAATAGAATTTGATGTATCAAAAAACATATGTAGCTTATAAGGTGTAAGGAAGTAAAACATCTTTAACAATGTCACAATTTTCAGCCAACCCCATATGATAAGAAAAAGGACCCAAATCATGTCAAGCGCCCCATGAACTCATTCATGGTGTTCTCTCAAGCGGAGCGAAAGAAAATCACCATGGCTCAGCCGCATCTTCACAACGCTGTTATCAGTCAGCAGTTATCCAAGAAGTGGAAGGACATGACGCCAGAGGAGAAGGATCCGTATGTCAAGGAAGCGGATAAGTTGAAGATGGAGCATGCATTGGTTAGTTTATTTTATGCAATCGAGCTCTATGTTAGTTATTGTGGCTCAGTCTGTAGCGGCGCCGTACCGCGCCGCACCCCATAATTTCAAATCCTCGAGCGGCTTTTTGAGAGACTCATAACTTTTCTGATGTTCTCCCACCTTCAAAGTGTGTCATTTTCAGCAAAACCCTGGATACAAGTACCAACCACGTCGTAAACTCAAGGGTGTACCATCAAAGAGTACAGTATCTGATGAAAATAGCGAGGGAAAAAAGGCCACCCCACAACGAAAAAATGCTCAACCAATGGCACAGATTCAACAGTACCCAGGATCCTCAAATCAAATGTCGTTCCCGATGCAGTCGTTCGGATTCTATGGCCACCAACCACATACTCAGAATCCACAAGGACAAATACATGGAGGTGGACACCCATACTTCAATCACGGATTGGCTCCAATGGTTGATCAGGTAAGTTAGCATGTTGCTTGGTTTATTGCATGACCCCTTCACTCACTCATTTTAAGTTCCTTTCACATTTCCAGATGACTAATAACTACTACGACTTCTCTTCTCAACAGAACTATCAGCATGATTACACTATGTACGCGCCAATTCAGAATCGCACGTCTTCTAACGAGTCTTCTGAATCCTGGAACACCACCACCAGCTCATTAATGCCAACGTCTTCTGAATCTCGTGCTCCATCTGCACTCACCGTTGATGAGTTCCCGGGAATCAACGCGGGATTCGTCTTCCCAAAATACGAGTTCTAAAGGATCCGAAGGAAAAATTATAATAATCTACTCTCATATTGCACCACCGAAATCTCACCAATCACATATCAATAATTTGTCGTGCCTGCTTAATTTTAAAATTTTAATTACCAGCTTGATTGTACCATGACACTTTTAAATCTCATTTTTCAGAGTTTCCAGATTTTTAATGCAGAATAAATCGACAGCTTTCTTTAAAACTCTTTTTTTTCAATTTCCACCAAAGCCGACCGCGACCGTTCGTAGGCCGTGTACCAAAGAGTCCGCCTGGATTTTCAGCACACACTTTTGTTTACTTGTTTAGTACAGTTTAGACCTTTTACTCCGTCGCTCTGTTTTACTCGTTTTCTCTCCCCAATCTCTCCGATTTCCACACTATCTCTTTTCGCCGCGCCAGAGTTCCAGGTTTCCCTTATCAGTGATAACTGACCACTCGACTCTGGAACTCACTTTTTACTATTTGAAAGTGTTTCTAATTGTACAGTTGTGTAAGTATCAGGTCATGTGTCTTGAGTTTTTTAACTTTCAGTTTTAAGAGTTTTGGGTTACTGTAGGTTTCTGTAGACTATTTTAGGAGGTTACCTCGGATACTGTATACTAGGTTACTGTAGGTTACTGTAGACATAAGGACATCAAAGTTTACTACGGATACTGTGTTGAAAGTGTTCCTCCGTTGCCCTCCAGCCTATCTTCTTTTCAAAATCTCCTCACCCCCGAATATAGATCAGTGGATTTGTCTGCGTCTCTCCACCTCTTTCAATTTTTCTCCATTTTCGAAATCTGCCGAACTTCTCGCCTCAAATTTCCCTTTCTTAATGATCCCCCTCCGTTTTCAATTTCAATTTCTTTTCGAATTTTACTTCTTTTCGCTTTTTGTCTGGATCTTCATAATCACGATTTCCAGAATATGGATCTCCAAAAACCGCCCAGTTTTATGTTGGATTGTGGAATGGCTCCACACATGATGCAACCGATTCAATGGGCTGCTGCCGCCATCGCAGCCGCATCGAATTCTGGAAATGCCACGTCACAACAGCCTCAGCAGCAACAACAACTACAACATATTTCGTACGGGGCAACTGGTTATAAGGTACGGTTCTTTTTTTTTAACAAATAAGGTAAAAGTGTGTAAAATTTAAGAACAATGGATGTTACAGTAATTGGGTTAGAGAGGGGTTTCTGACTTGTAAACAACATTTGATGACATGGTGTTAAGAGATTAGAGATCAAATACGATGGCCTAGGTTTTCCAAGAGAGAAAGTTAGGCCAGAAGGCACGGAAGCAATGATTTATTCTGGAAAAATTATGGATCAGCTACTCGGTGGCCTAGGTTTTGGGAGAGAAAAGTTAGGCCGCACCTATTAAGAGTTCCGGTTTGCTCTTTTTTGTAGCTTCTCATCTTCTGGAACTTTTGCTTCTAGAGAACTTTGCACTGGTCATTTTTCGCTCTTATCAGATTTTTTGGTTCTTATCACTGCTTCTTCCACGACTCGACAAAAATTTCAAAACATTTTTTTTAAACGACTAATTTTGATGCTACAAAGGTGAGATCTCCAGGTATATGGTGACAAAAATATAAGCGCAAACTTTAGGAGGAAGATGAGTAATTTCCTTTAATCACACTTGATGGAAACAGTCTGTTATTAAGTTCTAGTATCTCTTTAACGAATTAAGTCTTTATTGAAACTGAAAAAATTGTTTTAAATTTCAAATTTTTAAAATTAAATTTTTTCTAAATTAAAGTTATGACTCACTTTACATTTAATCTTGAGTTTTTCTTTTTTTAATTTCACACATTTCTGCCCAAAAATGAACTTTTTAGCTCATCTAGGACTCGAGATACATTGCTTTGAAGTTTACAAGGTGAGAGACGCCAGACGACGAGACACACTGCGTCTCTCACCTTGAAAATCGATGTATCTCGGCTCCTAGATAAGCTAGAAAACTAGAAATTTCAATTCCTTCATGACGAAAATTCTGGAATAGTATCAAGAATATTCAATCTATTTAGCTATAATTTCCAAAAACAATTTTCACCATTTTCAGGTCCAACATCCATCTAAAAACGCATCAGTAACACCGTACTCGGATGCAACGAATTGCAAAAAATCATCGAATCACATCAAACGACCTATGAATGCATTCATGGTTTGGTCTCAAATGGAACGACGAAAGATTTGTGAGCACCAACCCGATATGCACAATGCGGAGATCAGCAAACAATTGGGATCCAGATGGAGAAATTTGACTGATGAGGAGAAGGCGCCGTTTGTGGCTGAAGCTGAGAGATTGAGAGTTTGTCATATGCAGGTTGGTTTTTGAGAGATTTTGGATTTTTCGGGTTTTTCGGAAATATTAAAAAGCGTTATGGAAATTGAATGTTTTTAAGCGCTCTAGCAAGCTCAAGATCTAGAAACAAATCCTATGAGCATTTTGAAACCGAAAAAAGTTTGGGCTAAGAGCCAGCGATAGTCATATCAGTATCAATTGCTCAACATTTCTTGTATATTTGCAGACCCCATGAAACATACAATATTTGAAAATTAAATTTTTGGTAACTTTTAATTATTTGATTGTTAAAGCCCAAGTAAGATGGAAGAATTGAAATCTGTTCACTTGAAACTAGTTTTTGAAACTGATCTGAAACGGGGAATTTTTGAAATTACGAAAATTATATTTTCGAGTATTCTGAAAATTTCACGGTTTCAATAGTCAGTTAGAACCTTCGGGATTTCAGTAAAGGTTTGTTGAGTGTGCGCTTTTACCGACAGTTGGCCTAGAAAACTCTCACCTGGCCGCTAGGCCACCAGATACAACTTTGACTTTTCGATTCCGTTTTTCTCAAGGTAGGAATTTTTTGAACTTTTTCTTTATTTTTATGGGAATCTCCATTGATTTCTGCACAAAATGAAGCAATAAAATGTTTCACCACACACCACCTTTAAGAAATTATGCATTTTCCGGAGTTATGGAATCTTATTCACGGCAAATTTGTCGTATGCAAAGCTCTAAGGATGGTGAAATTTGCTTGATTATTCGCAGAAAATCAAGTAGATTCATATAAAAAACAAAAGGAATATTCAAAAAAAAATTCCTTTATAAAAAAACGCTTAAGTTTTCTAGTCCCCGCGGCCATTTTTTCTGGATTTTCAGTTTTTTTTCAGGTTTTTGTTAATTTTTCTTCCAGATCTTGAAAAAAATAGAAAAAAATGCTGAAACTCAAGAAAACAACAAGCACTACATTCTCATGGGCTTCAATCAGAAAAAGTACGGATGGATTAGTAAAACACCAATTGTTGAAATTTTCTTGTATTTCTATTTGAAGACCTCATGAAACATTAAACGTAGAAAAAAATTGCTTTGAAAATTAGCAATTTTGATGATTTTTGAATTATTGGATTGAATCAAATGGAAAAATTAGGATGTATTGCTTTGAAAGTTTGTATCAAACTGATCTGAATCAGAGAATTTGAAAAAATTTTAAAAATATATGCAAATTTCAAGTGTTTCAAAAATTCACAGTTTCAATAGTCAGTTAGAACCTTCATCGTTTCAGTAAAAGTTTAATATGGTGTCGACTAGAAGCGGCCTTTTTAAATGTTTTTCCATGCTTTTCTCTCAATTAAGGATATTTCTCTTGGTTTTTATGTGAATCTACATTATTTCATGCAGAGAACAAACCGATAAAAATTTCACCTTACAAATTTTTTGAAATAGAAGTTAGTTTTGCAAAAAACATTAGCAACCATTAGACTTTTAAAAATTAAATCCTTTTGATTTGTAAAATCTTTGATAGCATTCAAAGTTCTAATTCCTATAAACTAGAAACGGTAACATTTTTCCAGGAGTACCCCGACTACAAATACAAGCCACGTAAGAAGCCAAAGAAGAATCCAGATGGAACCCTTCAACAGCCAGCTCAGGCCCAAAATGTCATGGCTCCCCAAAACGTTCCACGTGGAACTTCTCCACAATCCCGTCAACGCAAACGTCCGAATCCCGAGCCAACCGATCCATCAAACCAATTCAATTTCAAAGTAGTCAAAACAGAAGCAGATTGGATGGTAGGATCTCATCAAAAAATGCCACCATTCCATCCATCGTATCCATCGCCTTCTGAATTTGGACACGCTCCATTGACACCAGAATCCGGGTTCTATGATGATTTCTACACTCAACATCAACATCAGTTTGTACCTCAGCATAACGGAGGCAGTCCCATCCGAATGGTAAGATTTTAAATGTTTAGAATAGCTGGAAGTTTTGAGGTTTTTCAGACATCGCTTGGTATGGATATGGGAATGGCTCCTCAGATGATGGGACATAATGCTGGATTCGGTGCTGGAAACCATCCATTCTACTTGCACACATCGCCACCATCCGTGGATCAGGTACGGTATTTTCAATGTTTCCAATTCGGTCGGTTTTGCATTTGCGCGTCAACATGCGAGTGTTTGCGTACGCAACATTGTTTTGTCCAAAAATGAACTTTCTAGTTTATCTAGAACGCGAAATATGTATATTGCTTTGCAGTTTAGGAGGTGAGAGACGCCAGACGACGAGACACATTGCGTCTCTAACCTTGAAAACTTCAAATCGCTGTATCTCGGCTCCTAGAGGAGCTAGAAAAGCGATTTTTCCATAGAAATAGAGCAAATTCGTCTGGCATTCGCAAAATGCAAATGCAATTTTTAATGCAATTCGCAAATGCAAGAATTTGGTCAAATCCTCATTGTTTTTTCACTTTTTTTCTTTCTAACCAACTAATTTTCAGGACGACATGCGCTCTCTATCATCCGGCTCCTCCGGTTATGCAGATTGCAGTGCATCCGAACAATCAACGTCATCTCCAACGTCTTCTGGAGTCTCCTCAATGACGTCATCGACTCCTGGAACCATCACAACGTCTTCTGGCGGCATGATGAGCGGTTCCATATTCTCAGACGAATTTTCTGGAATCTATCCAACTGTAAATGTGCCACCTGGCTTCCCATGGGGAGACGCTCTGAAGAGTATTGATTTGGAGCCGTTCTAAACAATTTTTCAAATTTCGCGGGTTGCTTTTAAACTGTTGAACTTTCAAAAACTACTCCAAATCTCTTCTTCTAGCTCTTTCCATGATTTTTGATTTTTCAATTTTTCCCCCCATTTGTCTACCTCATAGAATTCTCCCCTTCTTTTTCCGAGTTCTTTTTAGTCCGGTCCCTTAGTACCCCAAAATTCGTCTTTAGTTATTTTTTTTTCGATTTTTCTTGAATTGTATTAAAACGATTTTCTCCAGTATTTTCCCTGTATTCTTTCAATTTCTTCAAAAAGTATTTTTCTGATCCAAAAAGTAATTCAAGCCCAACTTTCGAAAGTATTCTATTTCCCGCCAAAATGTATTTTTCTCCCAATTTTTTTTCCATATATTGTATTCGTCCTCTCAGCTTTACCAAGCCAGTTTTCATCGTTCTTTCACTCTCCCCAATTCTAAAATTTTGTTCTGGAAATCTGAAATTTCCACTGCAAAATCTCCTGATTGTATATGTTGAACCCCAGCAGAAAAAAACTTATATACCAAATTGTGTTAGCTCTCTCCTCCTGATATTTATTCTCCAAAAAATCCCTTTCCCTCATCTCTTTCCCATCTACCGGATGATTCTCCTTGACGGAGCCGGCTGAAAAAAGTATCGAAATTCATTTTTGAAATGTTTTTTTTAATTTCAAATTGATTCGTTTTTTGTGTCAATGATGAATGAGGAATGAAAATTATAATTAAAATCGTTTTTTTTTTAGGTATTAGAATTCCACAGTGCGCGTATGGAGCATACTGTAGACTATAAGTATACGGTCAGTGTACTTCATCTATGGAACATAGAAAGTATCCAAATTTCAATATTGCCAACAGTATATGATGTTTGGTATACTGTAGACTATGAGTATGCGGTAAGTGTACTTCTTATATATCAATATTTTAGGGCTAATATGTAATTGAGTATTAAATCATACTACTACATCAACCATAATAGCCAACCATATAACTTGATCTTGAAACTGCAATTGTCGTGTTTCCTATAGTTATCCCTCCGGAAGGACCCTCCGCTGATCCCTTTTTTGTACTCACCGACATCAAAAGGATATCGGTACCGATAAAGGTACTTATGGTATATCTTTCTTCAAAAACATACTATCAATACCTTATAGTTTTCGGTCCCCTAACTTTAGATTGTGTGAAAAAGGAAAATTTTTTTCGGACTTCCCAAAACCCTCCTAAATAAAAAGTATTCAATTTTTGCCTTCAGAATACGTTATTTGGTATACTGTAGACTATAAGTATACGGTAAGTGAATTTCTTATCTATCAAGAAGTTCTTACGGCCAATACGGTATACAGTGCGCGTCATAAGTATATGCCCACCCCCTAACATGGCGGTTCCGGAGTAGCTGGAAATTTTTATGAAAAACGGCTAAGCCATTCGATTCAACATAGTTAAAAAACTAAAAGTCAAAAGTATATGCCCATGAAATGACCCCAGCATTTTCAATAATCTCCCCTTTTTTCGGGGTGGGCATATACTTATGACGCGCACTGTATAAGCCATTAACCATACTAACGATTAACCATGTTATCTTTTCCTTGGAACTGTAATTATCGTGTTTCCCATAGTCATCCCTTCGGAAGGACAATTTCGCTCACCATATTCCCAAAAGGCACTATTTTCGACCAATGGTCCTCCGACGTCATGGTCCGTATTGATCGCCCTTTTGTATTCACCGACACCGAAAGAATATCGGTACCGATTATGGTACCTCTGGTATTTTTTTTTTGGAATAACATACCGGCACCGAAGAAAAACATTGACGCAAATTGTCAATTTTTGTGAATCTTTTGACTATAAGAAGTCGCCGCTAATTATATGGCACGTTTTGAAGATATTCCTGCAATAGAAGTGCGTTCGCATCAGTAAATTTGGTACTACGGTTTTGAAGTAATCAAAAATATACATTGAGAACCTGAAACTATGAAAATTTTGGAGATGTTATTTTTGTTAATAGTAAGTTTGGATGATCAGAATTTATCCAAAAACTATGACTCTAAAATTTGCACCATCTGAAATTCACAGTTTTATTGAGCCGATTCTGCCAGAAGCTTCACAGACGCGGCACTTATTTTAGACGATGCAAGAAATTTACTGAAAACGCGCGAAATCGAGGTAATAAATACGGAAAATGAAACATTTTTAGGTTACGGTAGTTTTCATTGTGGCACCTTCACTTCCACAGCTCCGGTTTTTTGAACCAGAACAATAGTAGAATTCAACGTTGAAACCGTAAGCTTACAAAGTATGAATTGTTATTTCTGTTTCTAGAAATTATTTTAAGAGTACAAAAAAATTATCTTAATATTGGCACATACCTAGAATTGGCTTAATAGACGCATTAAAAAGGGACTAACAAGGGAAGGTTTTTTAGACAACGGTTGAGAACTTTGAGTGACTATGCTGGTTCGAACCCCACTGTGGTTTTTTTGAAACTAATTTTTTGATTTCAAGTTTGCCCCCCTAGGCACTATATGACACTTTTTGATTAATTTCAAACGTTCTCAAAAAAAAAGGTTTTATGAGAGTTTGAGGAGAAAATAGATAATGGTCTTTTCGACCGGTCCTTACATCCTCCTATCGTTAAAGGTGGGGGGACAGGAGATTTTTCGGAGTTTCTTTGGAGTTAGGGTATGAATTCTACCGTGACGGTGTACAACGCTTAATGTCACTCTGCGTACAGCTGTCGTCCTCGCCTTTATGTATGCAATCGGGCGGCAGTTTCCTCTTTGCCCGCGTGGCTCAGTCGGTAGCGGCGCCGCACCCTCAATCCTCGCCCCCACAAGTTCAGCTCCTCGAGGGTCTTTTTTAAAAGGAATTTCGAGAACATTATTTTTTTCATGTCTCCCCACCTTTAAAAACGAAAATTTCAACCTCTGAATATTGCTCAATTTTGCTCTTTTCGAGGTGGTGTACTGTTAAATCGATCACATACAAGATTTGAACCTATTTCTATCGATTTCAGTTAATTTCAAGCAATTTTTAAGAAGTTAGGGATTGTCAAAGTATTATTATTGTTGTGCGAAAAAATTGGAGCGAGAGAGTATTTTTCGCAGTCTGAATACGGTAGGCACCTCGGAGCGACAAGCCTAAATAGCGCATAGTCGGTGGAGACGCAGAGAAATATTTCGATTAACTGTCTGCGTCTCAACTCCAATTTTTTCGGACAACAATAATAACAACAATCAGATTTTGGAGATTTTGTGAGCGCAAAGACGAAATTGGGCTGTCAAATTTTGTCAGAATGCTATTCTTATCGTTTCTGAATAATTGGAATATTTTTTCGCACTTTTCAAAAAATTTTCAACAAATCATTTTCAAAGTGTGGGGGGACTTTTTTTTTGAAAATGTTCAAAAACTATTTCAGAAGAAAGAAAAATGTTCAAAAATGTGTTTCGCACTCAAGAAAATCCTGAACAATTAATTTTGAGCCTCGAAAAAAGCATGTTTCTGGTCAAAATTTAGCACATTATTCCGTATTCCTCCGTATTCTGTCCGTTCGCGAACTCCGTATCCGATCCGATTGCGAATGATGGACAAACGGATCCGTTCGCGAATCAGACAAAAGTTTAAGTTCGCGAACGGATCCGTTTGTTTATCATTTGCAATCGGATCGGATACGGAGTTCGCAAACGGATAGAATATGTAGAAATACGGAATAATGTGCTGTGGTTTTCTGAAAACGGGTCGCGTGCGGTCCGTATGCGGTTCCTATTTCAACCGCGCGCGAACGCTGAGCGTCAGTAACGGATCCGTTCGCATTTTACCTGTGGAGTTGTCTTGACAGCAAAATTCCTGCAGTATCCTACGAATCACCCAAAAAGTGTTTCTTTCCTCTTTTTCCGCTCCTCATTTTATCGTTTTTTTGCCTCTAAAACTAAAGAACACATCAATTTCATTAGTGTCGGTCGAAAGTCCCAATCTTTATCTCTCACTCAAAATCTTGTAAAAGTTCTTCTCATTCCGAATCCCTTTTCCGCCGACCTCCAACGACGTTTTACAGTCGTCAAAAGAACCGGCGGAATCGAAGATAGGCATCTGGAACACGCGACTTCCCGACGATGGTTTTTTTTTGAATTAGGACAGATTAAGTTGGAGTTTTTGGGGTAAAAAATGATTGCTTATTCGTTAATATTGAGGTTGAATGGGAGAAATGTTTGTGAGGTCCCAGAAACATAAATATTTTGAAAATTGTGATGGAAATGAGATTTCTATATCGGCCAAAATGTAATCTCAACCAATTTTTTGTGTAGAGCATGATTTTGTACAGTAATCCAAGCCCAAAAAGAATGCGAAGATCCCGTGGATCAAAACTCAAACAGCAAACTTATCACTGGCGCTTCAAAATTAAATAAGGGCACGGAAGAGTAGTTGCAGTACTTTTTTGTTTCAATTTATATAAATAAGAAGAGAAAAGTAGCAAATATTTTATGTTGGTTTTTTTGTAAGAATCCTGAATTTTGTCGGGGAAGAATTTTTCACTTACGATTGGTTCTCATTTTCTTTTCTGAAGAAAAACTAATAATAAAAATGAATAAATAATGACTCTTCGAAAATATAAACACCAGAGGAACATATGCTATACCGATCATTATGAGGAAAATTCCCCTTTCCTTGTGCTGCCAGAGAAACAGTTTTTTTGTTTCAATTTCCTACATTTCCTACTGACAAATGAAGAGTGAATATCAAAAAAGCAAAGATTTTCGGATTCTGTTCGGCAATCACTTTTTTGTATTGGGTTTTCGATCACTTCCCGAATTTCCCTTGAAATATTTTTGCGAAAATGCATATATTTTCTCGCACTGGCATCAAAAAATGATTTTTTTTTTCGGAACTCTTTTCATATATACCCCTCGAGGATTTTAACTCTTGGGTCTAACGGCAGAGGTGATTAAAAATTCGTTTATACTGTGTAAATTAAACAAATTTCAGAGTAAAAGTAAAGTTTTTTATTTACCTGAAGTACCTTGAATCTTTATAAGTTTAGATAAAAAATGATGAGACTTTCCGAAGCTCGACATGGTTTTTTTTTTGAATTAACACAGTTAACACAGGTTAAAATTGTTGGAGTTCTTGAGGGTTCAATGTTTGGAGTATTGCGATTTGATGGGTTGTAAGATTCTAGAAACAGAAATAGTTTTTGAAATGAGATCTCAATCGGCCAAAATATAGTCAAACAGTTTTGTTGGCTGGGGCATGTTTTGTAATCCAAGAAAAAGATGTCGTCCAAGAATCTCAAACAGCGAACATCTCTCTGGCGCTTCAAAAATAAAGAGACACGAAGGAACAATCGTAATGAATAACAGAGTTGTCCGTTTTTTTGAGCTGTCCGGGAAACGGTAGTGTTTTTTCGTTGCTTCGATATTTTTTCAGCATTTTCATTGAAATTTTTAGATTTCAAATTGAAGAATAAAAATAAAGTTTCTTATTCATCTGAGATATCTTAAACTTTTAAATGTTTAGATTAAAACTGATGAGACTTCCCGACACACGAAGTGTTTGATTTTTTTTTGAATTAGAACAGATTAAAGTTGAAGTTTCTGGAATTTCAAAAGTTGAGTTGTTTGGTAATGTTGCTAATTCTGGTTCAATGGTTTGTGAGGTCCTAGAAACAGAAATAGTTTAAAAATTGGTGATAAAAAAAGAGCTCGGGTGTCGAACCAATTGTTTGGGTAGATCATAATTTTGTACAGTAATCCAAGTACAAAAAGAATGCGGAGATTTTTAGATAGTTTTTTTGTAAGCGTTTCAAATTTTCCTGGGGAAATGTTTTTCTAGTGATAAAAATGACGAAAACCGAAAGAATTAATCCAGAAATTTTGCTTTCTTCGTATACTGTAGATGTATTTTTTATTTTTCAGTTTTTTTTTTGCAAACAAAATCACGTCTTATCTGCATTTTGATGCGATTGTGTTTGCAAAAGAAAAACTACAAACTACAAAGTTCTCTACAGTAATCTACAGTAATCAAACACCATCAAATTTCAGAAAACAAAAATCGGAAAAATTGAAAAAGAATCTTTGAAAATAGCTGAAAAAACCTAAAAATGTCTTTTTCGAAAAAAAAAAGAAAAAATATTTTTTTTCTGAATTTATTTTCTCGATCTTCGTGCAGCTTCAGTCCATTTTATTACTATCGAAAATTTCAATTTTCCGATTCTTCGGAGAGAAACACAGAAAACTTGACGAAAATCAGTAAGCAATGAAAAAAATAAATCCGGAAAATAAAAATATTTTTATGTCAGTTTTCATACAGTACACAAAATTTTCTGAAAGCAGAAATGCTGGTCAGCGGAACTCTGTGTAAGAGATTTTTACTGGCTTTCCGAAGCTATACAATCACGAAGTGCAATCAAAATGAGTTTTAGAATTGTCCACTTTTTCTATGCTGCCAGGGAAACAGTGTTTTTTTTTAAATATTTCGCCTTCACTTTCCTCTATAAACCCTTCCTTCTCTAATGAGAAAGTCAAAAATAGTCATGAATTCGTCACTATTTTTACTAATTTTTCTGTTTCACAGTGTTTTTAAAGTTTGAACATTTGTCGATTCATCGTTTTTTTCTCTTACTCAACCCAAAACCATAAACTCAACCCAAACCATAAACTTCGAGCACAGTTATCTCGATTCTTTTGGAAGATATCAACAATTGTCCAACTAACAAAATACTGGTGATATTATGATAAATAATCTATCAGTTGACAACTTTTTCATATCTTTCCCAGGAATTGAGCCAATTGAGCTCAAAGTTGACTGTTTGGGAGGGCTTCTATTAGAGGAATTCGCTTGTTTGTTGTTTTTACTGTTGTTCTTTCCTCTCCTTTCATAATATTGACATCATCAATTTTCGTCTCCATCTCGAAAGTTCTTTCTTCTATCCATTTTTTCAACCCTATCTCGCTTCTAAATCTTGAAAAAGTGCTTCAGATTTTGTCATTCTGAATCACCCGACCTCCAACGACGTTTACGGTCGTCAAAAGAACCGACGACTGACAAGATAGACATCTAGAACACACGACCGACACACGACCAACGGAATTCTTTTTTTGAAAAAAAAACGATTGCAACATTGAAAAAAGTCATTAAGAGATGGAGTTCGAGAAGGTAGAGAAGGGACGAATTTCTGATTTCAAAATATATAAATAGGATTGAGCAGGAAAACAATTACTGTTACAGACATTTTTCAAAAAATATAATAATTTTGGAGACACAATTTCAATAGGAAATGAAGTCCTGCAGTCTATAATTTTCAGAAAAAACCGGAATAGATTAAAAGTGGAATCCGACTGCATAATGTTTTAAAAGTGATTTATTTCAAAATATTATTACGAACAAGTTTGGATAGAATGCCGTTGAAAAACTGGTAATTATGATCGACGATTTTTTTTTGCAGTGAAAACCTAGGCCACGGCAGCACTCAAACCCTAGTCCCTATTCGTCACCTTTTTTAGAAAAATTCTCATCTTCAACGGCATTTTTCGGGGGTTTTGATTCTTTGCGAACTTGTTCATGATAAAATTAGGAAAATACACAACTTTTCAAACACTTTAACGCCATGGTTTTTTAAAGAAACAAATACTGTTACAGAAATATCCCAAAAAAAGTAATAATTCTACAGACACACTTTCATTGCGTCATCCAAAGTTAGCTGTCGTCCATAATTTTCAGAATGGCAGAATGGTCGAACCATTCGATAACCAAATAAATTACTTTCTTTCTATGGGTCCTAAAATTCGAGTTTTGATGGTGAATTTAATTTATATCTTGTTGGTATTATGACAGAATTTGTAATATTTTCTGCAATTTCGAATTCTGGTTATCTATTTATTTCCAAATCTACTTACAAAAATATATCCTTTTTTAATCTTTTCAGGGCTGTAGTCAACTTTGGAGTTCTGAAAAAAAAAATGTATTTGAGACTTTTCGACTGTTCTGAAACATTAAGATAAAAAGAGGTTCATATTGGCGCTGACAGCTTTGTTATTTACCTTACAAATTTATGTTTTTTCAAAAAATTACTGCTACAGAAAAATTTGAAAAAATATAATTATTTTGGAGACACAATTTGTGTGTGTCATCTAAAAAAAACTATAATTTTCGGTAAAACGGAATCCTTGAACCATTCGATAGGCAAAAAAATGACTTTCTTGCTATGGGTTCTAAAAGACGAAGCAGGGAGAGCATTCGAACGGGAAATTTGATTTACCGTATTTCCTCTAATCGAAGCCCACATCTAAGTGAAACCCTCCTCTAATAGAATCCCACCCTCAGACGTGCTCAATAACATAAAAGCGGAACCTCTAAAAGAAATTTGTGCAGTTCAGTTAGTGCGGTTCGTACAGTGCAGTTTATCTATTTGGTTATTGCAAACATTGTCTTACTTTTAAAAAAGTATTCCGGTGATTTCAGTTTTCGGTAATTTCCTGAGAAGGAGGTTGAAAATAGAAGCCCGTGGGCTTCAATTAGAGGAAATACGGTATATCTAGAATTTTCTGAGAGAAACTAAAACTTTTTCTGAAATCTCAAACTCTTATCATATTTTGACTCTTGCATTGTAAAGTAGTTAACTTTGGAGTTTTGAAAAAGTCTTCGAGACTTTTTTCGACTGTTGTGAAACAACAAGATAAAATGAGATTTTTACAGCTTAGCACTAACATCTTTGTTATTCATAATGCGATTTTTTCAAAAAATTGCTGTTACAGAAAAATCTCAAAAAATATTATGATCATGGAGACACAATTGAATCGATGTCCTGCTGTCTATAATTTTCAGAAAAAATGAACTATTGAATAGTTCGTAAAATGTCTTTCTCGCTATGAGTTTCAGCTCAAAGAACGTTTGGATGGTTGATTTGGTTTATAGCTAGCTTAAATTTAATGCCAGGAATCACAATTTTTTTTTCTGAAATCTCAATTTTTACTAATTTCTTACAGCAACGACAAAAGGATACTATTTTTACCGTTTCAGTGAAAAGTTGGAGTCTCGAAAAAGACAACTTTAGCCGAACTTCATTCTGATGAGATATGCTGTTTGTAAATTTAAAATGTGCCGAAAACAACAAAAATAGCACTGAAATAGGAGTTGTGTAATTTAAAAATGCTCATTTCGCTTTATTTGAATTTTTGCAACAAAAAATTGTCAAATACTAAATTGAAGCTCTGGTCTTTTGAGTACACTCTGAAACATTGAGAATCAAAGTATTCTACATCATTTTTTTCAGAATTTCGATTTTGATTATTTTCAACATATTTTCAACATACTCTTCTCGGATACCATCTCGCCAGGAACATATACATGTTCATGAAATATGTGAAACATCAATTTTGATTTTTGAAAAACTTGTATTTCTTTGAAGATCAGAATCCTGGATTTTTAACAGATGATCTTTTTTTTAATTCACAATGAGCTACAAATTATGAAGGGAATTATGAACCAAACAGTTGCGCCTCTCAATGAAAGTGTGAAATTCTGGAGAATTTTTTGCTGAAAACGAAATTTTTAATTTCAAACATCACATTTTGAGAGTCGCCCTTCTGTTGAAGGGGTCCTTCGAATATAGGTTTATGGCATGTTTGTGTCCGGTACTGTATGTATACAAACCAATCAAACCTATTTTTCAAATTTTTCTGAAATTTCTAAGCATGTCTGATGTAACAATACACAAATCCACAATTCTTCATTCGAAACAAAAACGAGTTTCCGTTCTGGGATCACCACCTATGTCAGAAGGTGATATTCTCGTCGTTAGCCATCCTTATCACTGATAGATTTCTCGTTTTCATCCAGTTCCCCTCCCTCCTTTCATCTTCCATCACAAGCATTTTTACTTTCCTCCCCCTATCCATTCATTTTCTTTCGAGAAAGTCAAAAATATTCCTGAAAATGTTAATATTTTTACTAATTTTTCTGTTTCTCAATTTTTGTAAGTTTTTTACAGTTCAAAAGTTGGTCAATGCGAAGGAAGAACTTTCGGTTACAATCATTTTCTTTTAACTTTCTAGATCCAATATCCGCGGGCTCACCACCGAATTCCGATGTTCCCGGTGCTCTTTTATCCTCTCTTGCCACTAAAAACCACCCAAAACTTCCATTAGCTCCATCCATGGAAGCACTAGAATTGATGGGAGTTCAATTTGTGGATGCTTTAATTAAAAAAGGACAGATGGAAATGGCAAAAGGAGCATTCAAAACACAACTGGAGGTTCTGGAGAAAGTACATCCGGATCAATTTGAGAAATATAAGAAACTGAAAGTGGAGGATTTAGCGGCAGATGCAGTTATGCAACAGGCAGAAATGTCCAAGTTGCAACCGAAAACTGGTAAGGAGAAATATAAAAAGAAGATCATTACTACGAAGCAATACGACTGAAAATTAATTTCTAGTTAGCACATGCAACAGTAAAAAATTCAAAATTCAGTTTTGAGATAATGTCAGAAAAAAGTTTTTATTTTCACATTTTAATAAATGTAAGTATCAATTTCCGATCGAATCAATTTGGCAAATCATTAGAGGAATAAGTTTTCTGGAAACTGAAAAGTTTTCAAATGTCAGATCTTGAAACTGAACTTTCGAAAGTCTGAGAAAACCTTAAGTTAAACATTGAACACTGTCTAATAGACAGGCGTCCTAACTTCAAGTTTTCGAGACTTTTATATTTTTGGTGAAAAATGAGTAATAGTTCCATCCGGGAACTTTAGTTCCGACTTTCAAGTTTAAAAATTCGTCTTCCCAAAACTTTAAATCGTACAAGCAGAAATTGTATGTATGAAGACCAAGAAGTGACACTTACAATATATAAAAACCTAATATAACCGCCCGAAACAGTTATTTTCTAGTCGACTATCTTTTTCAGGAAACGCATTCATCGATATGTTAAATGGAAATGGAATTCCAATTGGAAGTAGTATTCGTGGATTAGAAGATGCTATTCGGACACAAAGAGACATGGAGAACACTGATCCATCTGAGCAGGTAATTTCACTTTTAAGTTTGAATGACAGTCTATTGTGAAAAATATGGTAAATGTCATTCATGTTATTCTTGAAACAATAACATTTTTTCGTGCGAGTTTCACCCGAGCTATATGAAAGGTACCTATGGCTCATTTTGAAGGAGAAAGCGTTCTACAGTGCTATAAATAAAGCATAGTTACAAAAGGCCGGGCCGGGCCGGTAGACGAATTTTCTCGGCCCGACCCGGCCCGCGGCCCGCCTACCACTGTTGAAAAATTTCCAATGAAAAATTGGATTTTTTTTGAATAAAAAAAAGAAAAAAGGTTACATTTTTAAACAAAATTAACAAAGTAAAAAGTAGTCAGAAATAGGTCGTTTTGTATATATTTTAATTCAAAATTTTCGAAAAAAAATTCAAAATTTTCGAAAAAAAATTCAAAAAAATCAGCGTCTGTACAGACCCCGGGCCGGTACTCCATGGGCCCGGCCCGGCCCGTCAAAATTCTCGACGGGCCGATCCGCGGGCCGGCCCGAGATTTTGCAACTATGAAATAAAATGCTTCTACTTATGACGCACATTTATCTTGCACGCTATTGCACAAAGTTATTTACCGGCATATTCAAAAATTCACTGAAACTGCAATACAAATTTTTAAACATTCTTCCAGATTGCCAAAGCAGTCCTTGACAAGTTTCAAACTCAAATTCTGCCTGGACTCGTTGCCAATATGATCGCCGGAAGGAATCCATTCAAAATGCCACAACAAATGAGAAAAGCGCAAGCAGCACCATCAGCAGTTCTTCAACAAGCAATTGCTCAGCGAGAAATGTTGGGGAGAAATGCTCCAGAAATGAGGAATAATCAACAAATGATGATGATGAATCGAGTGGATCAGAGAATGCAACAGAGGGAACAACTAGTCGAAGAAGACGATGATGATGATGAAGTTGAAGATGTACCAAGAAGAAGTTCTTCAAATGGAGAGCCACAAACTGAAGCAGAGCACGAGAGAAGGGATTTGATGAGGAGATTGCGGAATAGTCCAAGATTGAAGGGTCTTCTTCAGGTGAGTTATGGTTTTTAGACAAATATTTGACTATCGTAAAGCTGTAAAATACGATTTTCGTGAAACATTTTTTTAAAGGGGGGGGGGGGACAGGAGATTTTTTGTAGTATTTGTGTAGCTAGGGTATGCATTCTACCGTGACGGTGTACAACGCTTAATGTCACTCTGCGTACAGCGGTTGTCCTCACCTTTATGAATGCAATCGGACGCCGGCTGCCTCTTTGCCCGCGTGGCTCAGTCGGTAGCGGCGCCGCAATACTAGTCTCGACAAGTTCAACTCCTCGAGGGGCATATTTAAACGAAATTTCGAGAACATTATTTTTTTTCATGTCCCCCCACCTTTAAAGTTGACAGTCGGGATGCTTGGGCACAAAAACAGACTTCTGTTTGAATCTTCTATTCCGAGCTAGCTAAATTTTGTTTTCGTCGCTCTTTAGAGAACTATACTACATATTAACAAGGATTTCTAAATTTCCATAGTTTCAGAACGCCGAAGTGCAATCTCTTCTCTCTTACCGTCGAATGAGAGACTCTCCACTCAGCAAACGGAGGCCATTGGCTATGAATGGTTCGTTCCTTTTTTTTGAAAACGTTTTAAGGATTTTTATGAAGTTTTGGAGAAGTTATACTTCTGCATTTTTAATTTTTTTTTCAAATTTAGGACTGCAGAGAGGATTTCGATTTTTTATTGGGTATTAATCATTTAAAGGTGGGGGGACATGAAAAAAAAATGTTCTCGAAATTCCGTTCAAAGATGCCCCTCGAGGAGTTGAACTTGTGAAGGCGAGGATTGAGGGTACGGCGCCGCTACCGACTGAGCCACGCGGGCAAAGAGAAAGCGCACGCCCGATTGCATACATAAAGGCGAGGACGACAGATGTACGGAGAGTGACATTAAGCGTTGTACACCGTGACGGTAGAATGCATACTCTAGCTACAAAAAAACTACGAAAAATTTCCTGTCCCACCACCTTTAAGAAAATCTTGATTTGTTTCAATCTGAAAAATCGAAGTTTTTTTTTTCAAAGTACGTTCAAGCTTTCTCCTATATTTCTTCTTTGAAAATGACAGTCTGAACTTTGTATTATAACTATTATCTAAATTTGGATTTTCAAACTTTCTAAAAACGGTAAAAATTTTGAAAAAAAAACAAAAGTTACGACACAAAAGAATCACCAAGTGCGATTTCTTTCTAAAAATACGGTCATGATTTTTCCGTTTTTTTAAAACTAATATTTTTGAATTAAAACAATTTCTGAAGTTCAATCTTTGCATTTTTCTAACATCCGTTTCTTCAACTTTTTAGAAACGGTGAAAAACTTTAAAAATGCTAACCACTGAGAGCACTTTTCAGATGAAGACGAAAACATATTCCGTGCGATGGAAGCCCGTGCAAAGCTCGATCAAAAATCGCAATTAGTTCTCGGATTCCATGGATTCGATGGAATGGGAGATGAAGATGATGACGATGAGGAAGATGAGAATTCAATTGATCCATCAGCCAACTCATTCCGTCGTGCTCCACTTCGATTGTCTTCTGGATTCGTTGAAAAACTAAAATCAAATGATGAATTGAGAAGTGCATTGAACAGAATCAAGTATCGAGTTGACGATGTGGAAAAGTATTTGCAACCAAAGCCAATGGATTTCAATCCTAAACCCCAGCCTGGATATTTTGTACCTCGAAAAATCCCAACTAGACCTCGTAAAATGCTTCCGTTGTTGATCGGATCAGATCCGGCGACTCAAGAAGAAGTCAGAAGATATCCAAGCAAAGAATGGAAGATTGCAAAAGAATCAAGAGTTCTGACAAATTTGAAGAACAATCCAAGTCTTGCTGCACTTTTTATGGATGAGAAATTGGAAAATACGTTAAGAGGAAGGCAATTGTTGACTGATGAGCAGAAGGGAAGAACCAGAGTTAAGACAATCAGAGCATTGCCGAGATTGTTTGGAGCACCAACTGCGAAAGCGGAGATGATCGATGCAAAGGTAAGGAACAGAAAAAAATGAGTGTTGTTTTCGGGAGTTTCTAGGAACATGGAATAGAGCAGTTGAATAGAACATGCATTAGTTTTCAAATGTGAGTTGTGAAACAGAAAAAAAACGTAATTTCAAAATTTGAAACGTGTTGCTTCTTCAATCATGCCGCATCCAAAATACAAAAGACTGTAATTTCTTGAGTAAAAAATAGTCCGCCCCATATTTAACAACTTTCGTAAACCGACAGGAATATTTTCAATTTCACAATCAGTAGAATTTTCGGATTTTGTTGTTCTAATTTAAAATTTTACAGCTGTTTTATTTCGACTTTTTAGCAAAAATAGATTCTAATGATGTTTTAGAACTTTTGAGAAATCTAAAAATTCTAACAAAAATAAAAATAAAATAACTGATATACAACACTATAGAAGCCTCGATGTTGTAATAGTTGCTGTCATAAGCATGGTATCAACAATTGACATTAAATAAATTTCGCACTTTTGGAGATATTCTGTTTCCGAAACAGGATAAAAAAGGACCTAATTTTCCATTTTTCAGACATACTGAAAATCGAAAACCTCGGTAAATATATAATGTCCCTGTTTCACAACTAATTTTTTATTATTGCTTGACAACTCATCGTTAATTGGTACAAAGCTGTTTCTTCAACAATCTAATATCACAGGTTTCACCGTATCTTTCATAAACTTGGTATCAGCAACTAACATTGAACGAACCTCGCACTATCTGCAATTAATTATTTTCGAAACAGAATAAGTTGAAACATGCTCAAAACTAAAAACCTATGTTCAAGTAAATTCCCTGTTTCACAGTTAATTTTTGGTTATTGCTAGCTGGGAGTCATGGTTGTTGTGTCTACATGCAAACGGAAAAATTCAGTATTTCAGGTCATTCTCTTCAAACCTACAAGAAAAGTTTCATTAAATTTTAATATTTAAAAAAACGAGATTTGGAGGTTCAGAAAAGTAGTGTAATTCCAATAGGGCATACAGGATGTCGATGTTTCATTGTTCTCGTCTGAAAAAGAAACCTTTAGAAGGAAATTTATTTAAAATCGCTTTCAAAAGCCTAGATGTTGTAAGCTTTCATAAACTCGGTATCACCTACTTGAAATCGAATAAATTGAGCAATTAAAAAAAAGTAAGGGCCGAAGTTTGCATGTAGACACAACAACCATGACTCCCAGCTAGCAATAACCAAAAATTAACTGTGAAACAGGGAATTTACTTGAAACTGTGAAAACAGGGAATTTACTTCAAACATCATGAAAATTGAAAACATTGCTTCATAGTTACCCCGTTTCACATATAATTTTTGGTTATTGCTTGAAAACTTATCGTTAGTTCCGAATTGAAAACAAAAAATGCCAACTATTTCAGGTTACTCAAGATATCGAAGAACGACCGGTACCACCATTGTTCTTCGAGCCAAAAGGAAAACACACTCGGTTGAGATGGACTGGAGCCAATGAGAAAGAAATTCCGGGACTCGGTGGGTTTCTTTTAAAAAATTGAATATGTAGAAAAGTAGCTGAGAAGAACTATATTGAAAAACCAAACAGAAGTATTTGAGTAGTATTTGAAAAAGAGAATTTTTTTAATGGTATACATTCAAAACTACTAATTTTTCATCAACATCACTTCGTATCAACCCATGAACAAAGTCTCGTTATTTATATGATTGTGAAACGGGAAATTATAAACATTGAGACATTTTGATTCAACCCTAATCCTACAATCCTTTTTGCTTTTCATTGTGCTAGTCCCTTATTTCATTCAGCTATTTCCATATTCCAGGATCTCGATTCATTCTCCCATCTCTGGACCCCACAATGCCAGCTCTGAACACAGCTTTCTCAACTCAAGGACGTGCTCGTGATGAATGGGATACAATGTTCAAAATTCCAAATCAATGGAATCCAGGAGACGAAGTTGGATTCAAAATGAACTCAAAAACCAAACGATTTATTGGAGGAAACGGTGCATTTGATATGCCAGCGCTGGGTCTCTAGAGATGATCATTCTGGATGATCATTTGTAATAATTGTAATAAAAATTGGATAATAATAAAAAGTGATAATAAATTTTTATTGATGAGAGACAAAGAAAAAAATTCGGAGGTGTGCTTGGAATTGTTGTGAAAATGATCCCACGACTCCAGTTTGTAATGTGGCAGCATTTTAAATTCTGAGATATCCTTGTAGACGTGGCGGTCCATGATAACTGTGGTGCGGTGCACCGGACCAATTCCTTTTCCGGAAATGGCACCCCAGACCATGCAGCTTTTTTCAACGACTTCGACCACCAGTGTTGGCTCCCGGTATGATCCTAGATACCCACTACCAACAGTGAAGCAATCAATAAGGCAATAGAAGTTCTTTGGATGTAGGGTGTATGATTGAGTGTGACATCTTTCGAGTCATCTGCCACGTCTTCGTGAGTTCAATAGGAACAACCAGAGAGTACGGACAAATCAATAGTGTAAGGACAAATCAATGTCTGCGATTGATTTTTTGCGATGATTGATTTTCTTATGAGGTCTAACCGATATGTTTCGAAATGCGTTTAGAAATTCGTGATTCTGTTACATGAACAACACCAAGGAGTGATTGTGTTCAATGTTCAATGTCTTACTTATCTTTTTGCTCAGCTGCCAAGTCAACAGATATTTGCTATGTTCTATCTCATCAACTGATTCGGTCGCCCGTCGTTTTCTCATCGTCATTTTTGTTTCTCTACAATCTCTTTAAAATTTTCAGAGCAACTAACAATGATTTTATCCAAACATCCATATGTAATCCAAAAAGAGATACTCGACAATATGGAATATTCCGATCTATTCATGTTTTCCTTCGTCTCCAAGAGTATGAAGAAACTTGTCAAATCGTCTCAAATGGACAGATTCAATTCGATCAGTTCAGTCGTGTATGAATGCGATGGAACGGATCAGTCGTGGGTGTATATTTCTGGGAAATGGATCGAAATAATGAGAATTGTAAACCATGAGGAGGGTGGAAATGGTTACTTTCAGTTGAATGTGTGTGGAAAGATAATCGATTTTCGGTGAGTCAGGATGATCAATTACTCATAAAAATATCATTTTCAGATTTATGACAGAAGCAAGTATTGAACCATTACAAATAACAGACTAGCATCCCCACCTTGCCGTATCATATCACTCGTTTGACAGAGATTTTGTAATCCAATCAATTCAAAATTACTTGCTTGATTTCATGGGGAATTCTCTAGAATTTTGTTGGAGATTCGAACACATAAACAGACAAACAGAGTTTCAAATTCCGTTCATTCCAAAACTCCAAAACGTATCATTCTGTGTTGACTTCTATCTCTTTGGGGACCGTGCCAGAAACGGTACAGCAAACTTTATGGAAATGAAAGAACTGGAAGAATTGTTCTCCTCTTCTCCTGTTTTGAAATCGATCAAAGTGTCCGCTATGACGCCAACGGTACCATTCAATCCGGAATCGAAATTTTATCAGGCAGAATCTATTGAAAGCGAACAAAGTACACTTACTTTTCCTGCAAAAGCTGGAATACTTGCAAATTGTAATATTTGAAGCTGAACTCCGTCCAAACCAAATCTGGATGCAGTCGCGGCAAAACAAATGAATGCAACGAGTCAACCACCAACGCACACTGTGGCAAAGCTGTAAGTTAATTTTAAATTTAAAAAATCCGTTTTTCAGAATAGCTCTGAATTAAACCTGTCGTTTTTCAGATACAATTGGCTTGATTCGAAATCGAATACGGATCCAATCATCCGCCATGCATATGTCGTGAGAGAAACCGATTCTCGTGTGGCATTTGTTCATATTCAGGACAAGACTCTAAGCTTTGGAGTATGGAATAAAACGGAGGAAGAGTTTTTGAGAATGGTGGGTTAGATGTTAATCTACTAGTTTTAAAAACATCTGCAAATCATTATATTTCATTTCGTAACCCATTTCATTTTGAAATATTTTTCTACAGTAATCTTTTTGATTTTCAAATCTTCGCTAGAGTAAACTCTATCAATGTCAAACACCTCGTCTTTAGAGATGATCATTGATCATCTGTAATAATTGTAATATAAATTGGATAATAATAAAAAGTAATAATGAATGATAATAAAAATTTATTGATAACAGATAAAGTTGTATGACAAAGACTATTTGAAAGGATGAGTTCACTGAAAACTGGTTGAAATTATTGCTGTAAAACATAATCACATGGGAAGAAAATTGAAAGATCTAGAAAAATCCTACTGAATTAAATTGAAGCTATCAAAATCAGAGAAATTCGTAAAATAATTAGATTTTGGAATTTAGAAAATAATAGAACACTGAAATTATATTTTGGATCATTTTGACAATATCATATCACAAAAATATAATTTGGAAAATTGATTAACTATCATTATCCCCATTTTTACTTCCAGTCGCTTCTTGTTTTGCCTTTTGTTCCGCTGCCAATTCTTCCCATTTTTTAGCATTATATCTGAAATTTGAGTTTAAGATTTTGCAAAAAAAAAAAAAAGAGAAACAATAACTGTTTGAAAACTCACTCGCAACGTTCTCTCATCTTATCAGCTTTCGGGAAAATTCGAGCAATCAAATCGTAACAAGGCATACAGATTCCGCGCATGAATCCGACCTGGAAATAGGAATCGGTGAAATTTGGAAAGAAAAAAATTTTTCATTCAAGGAAATATGAAAAACTCAGAAGCAAGGAAATGATTATATTTTTAAGTTACGGTAGTTGTAGTTGTGGGACCTTCGGCCACGGCCACATCTTCTACATCTTGGTTTTTTTGTACGAGAAAAATTATTGAAAATTTATAGATTAGATCCATTTCCATTCTAGAATCGAGCTTTTCAGTGTTTATACTACAACTAAGAAACAGCAAAAAATGCATTGGTTTTTTATTATTTTTTGAATTTCTAAACGATGGAAATCCTGATATAGACGGATCCCTAGAGTTTGATCAGTTTTTCTATTAGGACCCCGTCTTACACTTGAAAACAAAATTTCTTAGACTTTCACATTCTGAGTTCATTCTTAAATATTTCATGTTCTAGAAGATCAGACTGATGAGCAGAATTGTTTGAAATATCCTTGAAAGCAAATTATACAACCAACTAAAAATTTTTGAGTTTGCAAATAACCAAAAAGCAGAATAAAAATGTTTAGTGTTTTCTCCAAAATTCTTACCTTTTCAAAAATTTTAAATATTGCTTACCAACTATTCAAAGTCTAATTTTTTCGATGCATCCATATCTTACAAAATTCGTTTTCTCCGAACAAACCTGCATTTGGGGCAACATATGTGCCTGATTTCGATCCATCATTGCAATCGGTTCCTTTCCACTCAATCTCTCTGCGTCTCCTTGATCATAAAACTCTTCGAAAATCACTTTTACAGTTTCTGTCTGAATACTCCATGGTTTGGCAGATGCAACAAGATCACATCCAGTCATCATCACAGCTTGAGTTAGGAGTCTGAAAGTGAGAATTGACGAAAATGCGCTTTATTGATCCCTTACCTGTGCTCTCGATTACTAAAATCGAATTCTCCTCTATCCAAAATCACATTCAATTTTGCTTTATTCGAGAAGAAAAGTGCCAAGTCTGTAGCCAGAATGCAGTGTTTGATAAGAGATAAGGTTTCTTTGTACTCTTCCGGATCCAAGTTTTTCAGAATATTATGTCCATCTTGTTGAAGAATAGTGATTGTCTGGTTGAAGTGATGACGTTCCATGACAGAAGTACTGTAGATTGCTGCCAAAGGAGTCTCCATTGATTTCATGTAGGCGTTGTTTTTGCCACGATGATCCAAATCGTGGCAGAGACAGGAGACATAGAGAGCCAGGGACTGAAACACATATTTTTTTCAAATTCCAGCCATAAACCCTTCTTACCTCCAACTTTGTAAACGCTTCTGGACTATTAACCAACGTGGCAAACATGGCATGAGCCACTGACCATCCATGAGCCCAATTATGGTAGGCCACTCGCCTATAATTTTTTCGGACAGTCAACACAAATCGAATCAAACGTCGTTTTCGAAATGTCTGAAAAGTTATTGGTTTTTCGAAACAAATTGAACTCTCACAAAGTTTCCGAGAAGAGCGTCTTAAACATGTAGACAGCGTAAAGTGGTTTTTCGAGTTCCGAAAGTCGCATTCCGTTGAAATCTATTCTGAAAATGAGCAAAAGAACTAATATGGTACTAAAAAAATCGGGGGAGTGGAAGAGAGACGCCGGTGGCCGTGGCCGAACGCTCCACAACGACAACTACCGTAACCTAAAATTATTGAATTTTTAACGTTTTTCGCCGATTTTTCCTCAAACAAGTCGGAAAATTAAACATTTTGGATAAGGAAAAAATTGACTGTACCGAAAACGCGCGAAAATCGAAATAATAAGTCCTGAAAATGAATATAATTTCAGGTTACTGTAATTGTTGTTGTGGGAGCTTTTTTACCATTTGTTCTTCAACCAGAATACAATTATAGATTTCTGAAAACAACAGTAATTCTTTTTAGCACAATGAATTTATAATACTGCCTGTTGTAAAGACTCTGAAACCGTTTAAAAAACTAACGTCTCCAATTCAATAATTCGATTGTTCAACTCAATCTTCTTCAATTTATTGACTTCATCCGAGTTACAAACACTGTGATATGCTAAAACTTCCAAAGCAACTCGATATTTTTGCTCGGATCGACGAATTTTATCGTATAATTTTGCATGATGAAGAGCCAAACCACAGTAAACTGCGAATACTTCGAAAGCGTCTTCGTCTTGACGAGTGAATGCTCCATTGTGCTTATTGACCATTTGAACCACTCCGATTACTCTGGAACAGTTTTTTGAGAGCTTATGAATGTTGCATTAATTTGAAAATACTCGAAAAAGTTCGAAAAAATTGTACTGTTTTGAGAAGGCGATATGACTCTCTTGCAAACTAGGAAGTCAGTGAAATGTTGTGATCCGACAAAAATATTTTTTCAGTGTGAAACAGTCAACTTTGAAGTTCCAAAAAAATAGTTCAGTTTTTTTTATGTTTGAAAGTTTCAGCATTTAAAATCAGACAGATTTTCGTACAAATCGAGATAACCGGTTTGAACGTCGCACAGCTCTTTTCTCAGCTACTTTTGCATTTCCGGCATTTTTTGGTCCTAATCGTCAGAACGGGATTTGACAAAAAAGTAGTCCATTACAAAAATATAGTTTTTTTCATTTTTCAAATAGTTGGAATTTTTCAGCGCAATAGAGAAAAAAACGACTAACTTTTCAGGACTTCAAAGTTCATTATGTTCCACTAAAAAAGTCAAAGTGTGATATTTTTTGGTTAATGCACGGTTATTGTCGAAAAAAATTTTTCAACATTTTTTAACTGTTTCCAAATACTGACATTATTTTTGAGAAAATGTACACAACGGTTTCATTACGCCGAACAGAATTTTATTTTCCTCTCCAAACCCCTCCAAAACTCACACTCCTCTTATCAAAATTGGCATGCACAGAATGGTTTTCGTTGTGTATCCAGTTTTCGAATCCACATCTGCATTGAATCTCTCATCATAGTACGCATTCTCAATATTCAGTCCCTCTCCGGTGGATGCCACGTGTCCAGCGATTCCTTTTGACATGTCGAATCTTGAAAAAATGTTTTCGGTTTCAATGAGTGTTTATAGATTTCAGAATTCTTGTTTCGAACTATTCTTCCGAGTTCAGTATGGGATTAGCAAAGATGTGGGGAATGAAATTCAGAATTCCGAAAGTTCCGGAAATTCCAAGCAAACCGCGGCCGCGAAAATTTGAGTAAATCTTTATTGGATTTAAACTTGAAGAGCGGCAATTCAAGAAATTAATCAGTAAACTGTCCAAGTTTCAAACTATTTGATCAACTTTGAGCTGGTAGTGAGTTATCGCTTGTCAAAGTAGACTCATCTCTTGAAAATCAACAGCGTGCAAGAAACATTCCATCTTCGGAGGATCATAACAATACCTAGACTTGAGGAATCTTCTTGAAATTTTCAGTAACTTTGAATCAAACGTAGAATTATATGTCTATTAATTTTCGTGTTTCCAAGACACTTATGTCTAAAATATATCCATTTTCATCAGTCCGGGTAATTCTTTCCCATATTTTATCAAATATAACAGCAATCCAAATGCAAAAAAAAACTAGGAATATGTCGAAAAAACTTATGTTTTTTTGAGAAGCTTATGTGTTTTGAAATCGAAATCTTTCGAAATTCATCCAGACATTTTCTGCTGTTTCACAGAACTTATTCAATGTTTATTCATCAATCAGCTAATAATGTGTGTGCTGCATAAAAACTAAAAATTTCTCGAGAACCCACCGAATCTCTTTCTGTCCATCACTATTGACTCTGACATGCTCCTCATCTCCAGTTCCGACGTCAAAGATTCTCGCATAAATCTGTCTATTTCGGGAGTCGACGAGGAAGAGAGAAGCGCGATCAGCGTCGACCAATTTTTGGGCAAAGTTCTGGAAAAGAAGATTGGGTTTTTTGGAATTCTGGCCAGAAAATACTGTTTCAATAGTGAAAAAAAATAACACAATAATCATATACTGTCGTTTTGATATGTTTAACAACTTTTCAAAGTGTTTTTTATCAGCTACCGTAAACGATCTAATAAAAGCCCACTCTACACGTTGAGGTCAATTATCTCATTTCCTGTGAAAGATATGAAAAAGTTGTCCACTGATGAATTGTTTGTCATCATACGGCAAACATTTTATCAGTTGATCACTTTTTGATAGCTTTCACAGGAAATGAGATAATTGAGCTCCTCAAAGTAAAAAGTTAAGAGCCCTTTCATTACATGTTTGATTGTAGTATGTATTCATCAACCAAAACCACTCACCATGACCTTAACGATAACCGCATCCATTGATACAATATCATGAAAAATAGATCTGGCGACATCCAATAGAAAATTCGAAAGTTTTCTTTGTTTTGCAATGTTTTCATGGACGTCCAGCGAGTCTGGTCCTGCCTGACTTTTATGGTTGTAGATCTGGAAATTTTTGTGAATTTTTGGCTTTTTTGAAGTCTCCCAAAGCTTATCTAGTCTGATAAGTCGTCCTAGTATTACTGTACCTCTGAAAAATAGTTAGCAGCCGCTGCCCAAGTACAAACTACATTCACAATCGATTTCTCTGATGATTCCAGGGGAATATAGAAATGGATTTCACCTAGAGAAAAATAATTAAATTGATCCCCAAAAAATCTGATTTTCTCACCGATAGTTTGATTTGCAGCATTTACAATCGTCTGAATATAGCTTGCATTTTTACTGTTCTTCACCTAAAAACATGGAAAATTAATAATAAAGAAAAATTTCACAAAATTTCTAGCAACCACCTTTTTTAATTTCAGCTCTCCTTCCTCTGTCTTCCGGCAAGAAAATGCTCCTTCGTCGTTTTGAACAATCAACTCGACAGCATTTGTTCCCATTATTTGGCCACAGCATTGTGTAATTTCGTAGAGAATTCGAGTCTGTAGATTTTTTCAGGTCACATTAGATTGATGTGAAACTGGAAACTGATATCAAAAATACGAAACAGGGAAGATTTCAGTGGAATTCAATTGAAAACTACTGTAAAAACTCTAATACAATACTCCTAAAACTGTCAGCTTTGTGCCCATATATCTCATCCCCTATGCAGAAAGTAAAAAATAAGCCAACCGACAAACACTTCTGACATTTCGATAAGCAATTTATCAGTTGACCACTTTTTCATATCCTCGACAGAAACAGATGGGCTCAAACTTAAAAGGAGCCTTCCTAAAACAGGTTTTACGGTAATCAAAACTGGAAAAAATCAACAAAAATCAGTGGGAATTTGAAACTATGACGCTTGCATGATAATTTGAAGTCGAACATCAAGAGTTTGATTTTCAATGAGTGTCATTTTGATTATATTCTTAAAACTGGATTTGCGATGTAGTGTCAGGATCGATTGTTGAAATTTTCCCTAAGGCGATTTTTGGTAACTTTCAGAAGTTTCCGGTTAATTGCAAATCTCTGCAGTGTTCGGGGAATTTTTTCCTAGCAAAAACTTTACTGATTCTCTTCAGCAAACTAGTTTCAATGTTATTATTAGGTTGGCGGGAAAGTCTTTGTCACTCTGTTTGTTTAATCACTGTTCTCGTATATGGAGGCTGTGTATGATATCGACTCTAGTGAATAACAAGGTGATAAGAACCTTCCATATAAACAAGTCCCCATTTCCTTCCCTGCTCCTCATCTGTAATTGAAACGATATGTTTGTTCCCACTGCTATTCACATCAGACATGTTTTGATTTACCTCTTCCTATCTCACACCACGATGAAGGATTCGGAAACTTTCTTGAAGAATGTGTACAACACACATGCCCCTCACTACAATACTATTCGCAATTGGTTCCATCGTTTCGAAAAAGATGACTTCTCGCTCGATGAAAAGGATCGCTCTGGGAGACCCCGTGAGTTGGATTTGGACAAGCTGAAGCACGCATTGCAATCGGATCCATTTCAATCTAGCCGTGAACTAGCTGTCACATTCGGAGTTCACCATAGCACAGTCCTTGAAGGTTTGAAGTCTCTTGGAATGAGAAAACTTTTTGGTCGATTCATACCTCATCACCTGACTCAAGCCAACCTTGACCGCCGAGTCGACGATTCGATTACTCTTCTCACTCTCCACGCGGGCGATCGATGGCTGGACCGGCTAATAACCGGAGATGAGAAGTGGGTCTTCTACGATAATCACCACAGGAAATCCCAGTGGGTTGGAGAAGGAGAGAGCCCACAGGATGTCCCCAAACCCGACCTTCATCCGAAAAAAGTTATGCTCTCTGTGTGGTGGGGAGTGGACGGCCCCATCTACTGGGAACTTCTGCCCGAGGGCAAAACAATAACTGGAGACCTCTACACTACTCAACTACGAAACCTCAAGAAAGCAGTCGACCGTTCGGCCCTGAAAGACAAGAAAGTGTACTATCAACATGATAACGCTCGCCCACATGTTTCGAAACAAGTGAAGCAGGAGCTGATGGGATATGGATGGAATGTTCTCCCTCACCCCCCGTATTCTCCTGATCTTGCTCCTTCCGACTATTGGTTATTTGGCGATATGACACGTGCCTTCGAAGGAAGAAGCTTCAATTCCCGTGGAGCGATCGAAGCGGCACTCAAACAATACTTTGCCTCACGCCCGGCTGGATTCTACCGCAATGGAATCCATAAATTGAGGGAACGTTGGAGACATGTTGTTGATAATGATGGACAATATAATTAATTATTCGGTTATTTTTTCTTTGAGAAATAAACTATTGAAAAAGTGACAAAGACTTTCCCGCCAACCTAATATTTCACTGTTTTCACAATCAGCAAGCCTTTTGTGTTTGAAAACAAAACACAGTTTCCATTTGAGATATACAGTAGAGGACAAAAATAATTATACTTTGGCTTGTTCAGTGGAAAATTGACACATTTGTTGTATTTTTAAACTCAAGTTCAGCAAATTAGTTTAAAATCAATTCTGAAACTTATAACAAATTCTTAAAACCGACAACATATTTTTTCAAGATTCGACATGTCAAAAGGAACCGCTGGACACGTGGCATCCACCGGAGAGGGACTGAATATTGAGAATGCGTACTATGATGAGAGTTTCAATGCAGATGTGGTTTCGAAAACAGGATACACAACGAAAACCATTCTGTGCATGCCATTTTTGATAAAAGGAGTGTGAATTTTAGAGAGTTTGGGAAGTAAGCGATTACCATTTTTATGTGGATTCGTTTCTAAATTTGCTCGAGAAAATCATAAGTAAAACAGAGAAATTAAAAGAAACAGTGAAATTATTTTTAATTTCGATTTTTTTTGTAATTTATCAGAACTTATAACAAGAAGTGAGTGACTGTCGAACAAAAGTATATAATACTTTTTGATTGGAACATTGTTAACTTCGAAGTTCTAAAAATGTCTAGATTTTTTTCGATTTTTGAATTTTAAAGTAAATTGTAGACAAAATCAGATAAGTTTTTGGGATTTACGCTTTTTGTACAAGCCCAACAAAGCGAGAAAAAGTATTCCATATATTTTCCGTTGCTTTGAAAAGTTCTATGCTTTTTCGACAAAGTACATTCTTATGAAATATGCCAACCAAAAAGGTGCTAGGAATGCCAAAATTAGCTACAATGACAGGAGCCGGGATAGTTGAGATCAAAGTTGAAAATTAGAGGAAGGCACTCTATATGTATTACTATAGGTATTACGGTGGTTTTGTCCGATTCTTTGCTTCCAGATTCGTTCCAGATTCATCTATACTAATCTCGACTAATCACCCGATTTCAAGTTTTGTTATCCCTCTGAGTCCCAATGCAGCACAAAACACGAATCTTTAACCCTTCAATTTTCAATAAGCGAAAATTCAAACGTTCAATTTCCGTTTCCCACACACTCACCCGATTGTCGGAAGTTTCCAGAATCACGCGTCGTTTCATAGATAAGTCGGGATCCTGGAATTATCTTTGAAAAAGCTAAAAAATATAAAAACTCACCGTCCATCCGCCAGCCATGGGAGTTCCGGTGAACGGACGTTTTGGTATTTTAAATTTGATAGCTCTTCGAATCGACCATCTTTCAAATGTATCAGGACTGACTTCTGGAGAAACGATATAGTCTTCTAGGAATTCTGGATGGTCCCGCAGAAAATTCAAAACTGAATTCTCGTCCATTTTGGCTATTTTTCAGGATACCCTGTAATATGTCTCATCCTTGGAAAGAGTTTCAGAAGACTTTCAAATCGTTTCAATTGGATGAAAGTATTGTCAACTTTGAGCTAAATTATCTTGATTCCTGTAAAAGATATCAAAAACTTGTCAACTAAAAATTATTTATCATAATACCACAAACATTTTACAAGTTGAAAAATTTTTGATATCTCTATTAGGAACGGAGATAAATCACCTTAAAGGTGGGGGGACAGGAGATTTTTCGTAGGATTTTTGTAGCTAGGGTATGCATTCTACCGTGACGGTGTACAACGCTTAATGACACTCTGCGTACAGCGGTCGTCCTCACCTTTATGAATGCAATCGGGCGCCGGCTGCCTCTTTGCCCGCGTGGCTCAGTCGGTAGCGGCGCCGCACCGTCAATACTAGTCTCGACAAGTTCAACATCTCGAGGGGCATATTTAAACGGAATTTCGAGAACATTATTTTTTTTCATGTCCCCCCACCTTTAAAGTTGAGTGAGCCTCAATAGAGGAAATACGGAATGGAGCAATTTTCCTCTGCTATCGGAGAAATCGGGCATTTTATACACTATGTCTGAATATTTATGACCTAGAAAAAATACTAAAAAGGACAGAATGCTGCTTCCACATGACCAAGAATTTCCAAATTACACCGCCCATGTGCACTTTGAATTGAAAGAAATGTTATAATTATGAGCAAGACTTGGTTTTCTTTTCGCTTCAGCTTGGGAATTTTTCTCCGGATCTTGAACTTTTTGTGCTCTTCCTTCTAAATTGGAAACCTAAATTTGGAAACCCGCGCAAAACGACTACGGTAGATACGCAACTTGTCGTGACAGTGATCACACAAAAACGATTTACGGGATGCATTTAGGCTTACGCGCAAAACTTTCAAGCCATTTTTACAGGTTTTCCGGAATATGTGTCCCAAATTTCAAAAAATCCAGAAAATTCAATGAAAATTTTAAACAGGTGCACTCGCGACTCCGCCCATCTGTCTTTTAATCTCTTTCTAATGAGGGGTCACCTTCGGGAGAGGCGGATATAAGCTAATTATAATAATGCGAAACGGAACGAAAACGCTCAAATTTCAAGTGGAAAATAAGCAAAAAAAGTGGTATCTCTATCTCTCCATCTTTTTTTTTGGTAGGCTCTTGCCACCTGAAGCCGTCTGTTACGTCTCTTTGGAGGAGGAGAGATATAGAGAAGAGCTCATCCGTCCCCGTAGTATTATCACTCTGAGCCCCTTTCTGCGTCTTCTTCCAATCTTCTTTTCGCTCTAATGCTCTGAAAATATGTGCATATGTGTCAGTCTGATGTAGTGTGTGATAATAATAATGCATGTTTTATATATAAATTCGTATAAAAATGTGGGCAAAAATAAGAACAAGAGCCGATTTTGAGCGGATTTTGAAGCGTCGTCGGCGTCATGACGTCTTCGATAAAACCTCGAAATTGGCATCGAGATTTCGTAGGAGTCGATCCAGATGGAGAAGACGATCCGGGGAAGTGCTGAAAATACTACTTTTTCGTGGAAAATTTAGGAATTGCGGGATAGAAATAGTGCAAGTAGGAAGGAAGCCATAACCGGCATTTATATGCACTTTTATAGGGTTTCGAAAAAATTTTAGGCGAATCTAAATATAGCATGAAATTCCACTTTTTCGGAGAAGGTGAAATCATTCCTCAAATATTAGTGGCCTAACTTTATCGACATAATATTTCTAGGCTACCGTAGTTGATGGTCCAGAAATGGTCTAACATGAACTTGATGTGTTTCCTTGGCCATTTTAAGATGGTGGCCTAACATTCGCAAGTTGATTTTTCTAGGCCATCATGGTATATAGCCTAGAAGAGGCATAGCATCACCCTGGTGTTTTCTAAGCCATTTATCACAGTGGAGTAACTTTTGCAAATGGGGTATTCTAGGCCAGCATGGTAAATGGCTTAAAAATGACCTGATACTACCCTCGTGTGTTTTCAAGGAAGTTTTATCGTGGTGGCCTAACTTTCTCAGTATTATTTTTCTAGGCCACCACGGTAACAGGCCTAGAGAACATACTATATGGATATTAGATCATTTCTAGGTCATTATCTATGGTGGCCTAACTTTCGCAAGTTTATTTTTCTAGGCTATCATGATAAATGACCTCATATTCATTGGGTGTACTTTCTAGGACATTTTACAATGGTGGCTTAACTTTTAAACGTTGCGTTTTTTTAGGCCACCATGGTAAATGGCCTAGAAAGCACACCAAATGAATATTATGTCATTTCTAGGTCATCATCGTGGCCTAGAAAACTTCACTTGCAAAAGTTAGGCCAAAATCTATTTCCTCACTAACATATCATTGACATATTCAAATCGCCGCTTCTCACTGATCGCCCATTCGACATGCCCGTTTTTCAAATATTTGGTGAACCGTTCTGATAATTTTGACCATCTGATCTGGAATTTTTAGAAAAATCAATTTAGCACAATATTTTGATCGTACTAACATCACCCAAATACTGCAAATTTTGATTCCAGTTCACTTGATCATCATCCATCTCATCCACTTCTATCGACCTTTTTTCATTCGGATTTTCCAGGTCTTTCTGAAAGACGAGTATGATTATATGGAAGGACAATTAAGATTCACCAAAATCCAAAACGGTCGTTTTCGTCGTTGGAAAGAGGAAAAATCAGGATTCTGAAGGCGTTTGTAGAGCTCCGCGTGCTCTTTCAGCGACATTTCGATATGGGTTCTGTAAAAATAAAACTCAAATTCTAACAAAATACCACGGATTTCCTACTTCCCAAGCCGACTCATTCCAGCTGTCTCATCAAGTGAATCGCCCATTTCTCTGGGATAAAAGAAGTGCATCGGCAGATGAGCAACGTCGATTCGTAATCGTGAAGGTTCAAATTTGAATCGTATCTGGAAATTCATAAATTTATTCCAGCCATTTTTGCGTAAGAAAAAAACCTCTCAACGGCTCCTATCTTCAATCCTTTTTTGTCCTGTTTCTGTCCAAACTTTCCATCCTCTACAATCAATCTTCCGTCTTCTTTTCTCTGTAAAATTTGAATTTTTAGTTTCATATTACGCTAAATGAGCTAAAAACTAAAAATCTAGCTCGTTACCTAAAAATCGTAATCTAGGTCATGACCTAAAAATCGAAATCTAGGTCTTGACCCAAAAATAGAAATCTAGGTCATGACCTAAAAATCGAAATCTAGGTCATGACCTAAAAATCGAAATTTAGGTCATGACCTAAAAATTAAAATCTAGATCTAAAAATTGAACGTATTTTTTCAAATTTTTTTTCCGTATTTTTCAGTTTTTTTTGTTCATTTTTTTCCGAGGATGTCTCGAAAAATTTGAAAAAAAAACAATGAGAATCGAAATTTTCCTTTATTTTTATCTGAATATTCGTGATTTTCTGCACAAAACAACGCATTTAAACTCACCAACATCTCCAATGGGTCGTTAGCAAGCAATAGATACGCGCCACCAAATCTTCGAAAATTAAAAGTACAATCTCGAGAAACAGAAGCAATAAATGTGACTTCAGACAAGGGCAAACCATCGGAGTGGCCGATAAAATCTCGAAGTTTTACAGGTAGAATCACGATTTTCGGGGCTTTTCGCTGAAAAAAACGAATATACGAAGCAATATCAGCAACTAACATCAAGGAAAACAGTTGAAATTCTCTGAATGTTCCATAAATTTCTCGCCGGATGAGTTCCTTCCTCGATAATTCGAAGTACAGTACATCGGGTTGCCAACTGTAAATCGAGATAATTTTGAATTTCGATCCCTTGATCAGAGTCTCGACATAAGATTACTCCAAGCACGTGATTGTCTGAAATTACAGCAATTTGTTGACATGAAAAATTGAAAAAACCAGGGATGTTCGGCTTGGCCTTTTCGGAACTCTCCGATTTTTAAATTTTCGAAATTTTGTAAGTAATTCCGCTTGAGACCCACGAAAAAAACTTCTATTTAGCGTGCGCCTTCAAAATACCGTAGTCAGAAATTTGAGAGCACAACAACTGGGAGGAAAACAAAAAGTGGGAAGTTCTTCTTTTTTTAATTTCGGACGGCTCCGATCCGAAGTACCTTTTTGGTAACATGTTTACTTTTTTACCTTATCATCTGCTTTTCGGCAGTTTTTTGTCCGTTTTTTGTCCGTTTTTTTGTTCCGCTTTCGTCAGGTTCGTCAGGTTCGTCCGTCAGGTTAGTCCGTCAGGTCTTTTCGTCAGATTCGTCCGTCAGCGTTTTTCGTCAGGTTCGACCGCGTGGCGTCGCCAAACAGTCGAACTTAACTGTCGAACCTGACAGAGGTTTGCCAGGTTCGTCCGTCACTTACTTGTCCATTGTGATGGGTGTTCGCTTTTGATAAGACAGTCCTTTGGGCAAACGGGTGGGGGGTGGCTTTTAGGTGAAGAGAGCCGAAAAAGAAGACATTTATGTATTGCTCAAGTGTTAGAGTGTATTGCGCAATACTTGGCAATTCTGACGATTTTTAGTAATTGGATAAAGAAAAAATAGTGTCTCCGCCTTTCGATTATTTTTTATCAAGATTATCGAATAGAAAAAAACGTCATTTTTCAGCGGAAACAATAGATCAAGTGGTGATAAGAAAGTGAAATTTGTGCGCTGTATTATAGTTTGAAGAAAGAATTGTTGGTTCTTTTGCACAGGGATAGTGAAGAATTTGTATTGAAATGGGTGAAAAATGATTTTCAAACAGTTTTCCAGGAAGAAAATATTTTTAAACCGAACACTTTACCAGAATTTCCCCTTCCCCATACCGTCAACTTTGAGCTCATATATCTCATTTCCCGTAACTCATATCAGAAAGTGTTAAACTAACAAAATGATTACTGTAACATTTCAAATATTGGGAATTCGAATTCCACCACA